TTATTGACAGCTATCTGGTTCTCTGCACAAAGAATTTGGGAAGACTTTGTTTTTTTTAAAAGGGAGTGGGGTTGTGGGTATTGGGCAACTGGGCAAGGGGAGAGAAGAGCATACCTGAGACAACCTGTTGAGAAACCAAAACAAAACCATTATTGATCTCCTCCATGGTCACAAAATGATGCTGAAGAGCGACTCTTGAAGTTTCTACCAACAAGAGTTTGATGCCTTTTGGGATATCCCAAGTCACTGCTCCTTTTGTTGTGCTTTTGTTGGCTGTTTTTAGCGAGTTTGCCTGTTGAGTAGCTCCTCTGCTCACTGTAACTCCAGAACAGTGTTAGTACATCAGTTCTGTGTGCACTTTGTCAACAGTTTATGTATGTAAAATGTCCTTGCCCTTGAATACTTTTGGGGTAACTTTTTCAACTGATAATTAAGCTATGTTCATTACATTAATTTTATAAACTTTTTTTAAACAGTTGCATAAAATCTAACTTGTGACATTTCAAAAGAGAAGTCCTGTCTAGCTGGCATAGAACACCTGGTGTCTGTGTGTTTGTACCAAAAATCCTTCTATACCACTTCTCCTTTCAAGAATAACTCCCAAAAGACTGAATAATGGTTTTGTTATTAACGCTTTTGCACCTGATGTGCTCCTATTTATTTGCTGAAGGCACGTGGAAAAATGCCTGTGTGCTGTGTGTTGTTTACTTGAAATGCTCAGCAGAGAATCAGATGAAAAGTTTTGAATTTTTTTTTTGTTGTTTTAAGTCCTACCTCAACAGTAAGAGGGTTTGCAATAGGAGCTTTGTGTGCAAATAATGTGCATGGTGAGAATTTCCTTTAAAGTGCTGTTAAGGATGGGATGAAGAAGGGGGATGCATGTATCCCTTTGATTTTTGTTGGGGTTTTTTTGTGTTTTTTTTTAAATTGATTTGTAATCTACTGTAGTGCAACTTGAAGTAGGGAGATCCTTTCATGCTTTCCTCAGAAGGAGAAAAAGAGGGGCTTAGGCTGCCTGAACGTGCTCGATTCTGATGTGTACAGATTCAACCAGAAAAACTGTGGGGGAAGCATATGATAACATAGAGAACAAAAAACAATTTCCTCTTCAGAAAGTACATCTGAATGCGCTGGATCTAGTAAATTTTAAATGACTCCATTAATTTTTAAAGTGGAAAAGTAAATTATGCACCTGGTTGGTGGTGATCCAAGTGAGCAAATCAGTTCAGTGGCTGTAAAAGTTGAACAGAACTTTGTTTGGTTAGGAACTTGCATTAGGAGATTTTTAACATGGTATTGTAGTAATTTGTTCCATGGGAAAAGTGGTTTCTTACAGCTAATTGAATGTTATTTTTTTGCCCATCAGCAGCAACATTTGGTACTGCATCCTTGAGCATGCCTGCAGGATTTGGAACTCCTGCTACCTACTGTCTTCCTACTAGTTATAGTGGCAACTTCCAGCAGCCCACGTTCCCAACCCAGGCAGCTTTCCCTCAACAGACTGCTATTGCTCAGCAGCCAAATGGTAGGTCTGCATGTTTTGGATAATCTTGTCTAAATGGGAAACAGAGGGAAAATGATCTCTCTGTAAGTTGGCAATAATGGGTGCATGTTTATTTCTTTGTGAACTCAGTAGTAACATTGATGAGAGGTTCCCACACTGGTTTGGCTCCCTAGTTGAGCTTTCTTACTTAGCTCTGTGCACTTGTGCAGTGACAAAAATGCAGTTTTCCTAAATTTTACTAAAACTGTAAGTATTCCCAGGCTTAAAGGGTTTTTAGGTAGGAAGGGCTGTTTTGGAGTGTCTGCGATACATTATTGCTTTCTCTAACTTCATAGAACACAGGCAAGAGAAAACTGGAGAGCATTTCCCCCCCTGAATTTATATGATACAACAACATTGAAAAAAGTGCACCTGCAGAAATTGGAAATGGATTAGTTACAAGCAGTTGAAAACAGCCAAACTCAGTCACCATTTTTTCAGGCTTATGTTCGTGGTAATATTTAAGTAGGATCAGTCCTGCTGATTCTGCAGTTCAAGTTCCCACTTACACTGGGGTGAGAGCTGCGCCAAAGAACTCTTTGAAGATTGTTTACTACTAATTTAATACTAGTTAATATTTTTCACTTATCTTTCCAAGGAGCAGGTTTTGCTGCATTTGGGCAGGCAAAGCCTGTAGTAACTCCTTTTGGACAAGTTGCAGCTGTTGGAGTATCTAGTAACCCTTTTATGGTAAGTGAGTTGTTGCATGATGTCAGTAAATTCTGTATGTCCAAAGAAGCATAATCTGTAACACTTAATTTGGAGATAAACAAAGATATTGGAGTTTTCTTCCTTCAAGGAAAGGAAAGCAGCATGTGACTCTGCTAACTGCAGTTCAGTGTTATGATGACATGGCATCTGTTCAAACCAAAACAGAGGTACTTGGATACTCTGTTCTTACAGTGGTGTCATTTCAGAGAAGCACCAAAAAATAGACAGCGATATAAACTAGAAATATTTCCCTGTAGGTTGTTTTCTTTTTTTATATATTCTGCATTTATGATTTACAATATGGGAAAAAAAGTCTTAACTGCTTGCCTTATTTTTGTTCTGTCCTTTTCCCCCCCCAGGCTGGTGCACCAACAGGACAATTTCCAACAGGAAGCCCATCAACCAATCCTTTCTTATAGCCTTATAGACACTTTACCCAAAAGAACTCTTATGTGGTCACATAACATCTCTGCGCCTCTTGCACTGTTGTCTTGTTTCACTGATATTAGCTTTAAACACAAAAGAAGTCTTTAAGAAGTAAAAAATAAAAGCCTGCATTGTGTACCTTTAAAAAATTTTAAAAAGGAAAAAAAAAAAATCCAACACACACACACAAAAAAAGAGAGAGAACCAACCCCCCCCCCACCACCAGGTAATAACGTGCAAAACAGAGGGCTGTGGTAACATCCTTGAACCTGTGAAGTGGCAGGTAAAAAGTAGCGGTATCATGTATATTAAAATTGGCTAATAAGTTATTGCAGATACCACGTTCATTATGCTGCAGTACTGTACATATTTTTCTTAGAAAATAGCTATTTGTGCATATCAGTATTTGTAACTTTAACACATTGTTATGTGAAAAATGTTACTGGGGAATAGATCAGCCACTTTAAGGTGCTGTTGTATCTCTTGGAATGAATGAGCTGCATCATTTTAACCGTTGGTATTGGAAGTCATGAAGTTAAATTGAAGGTTTGTTCATTTCTCAAAACGTTTTCCTTTCCTAAGAGCTCTTCTATTTATACATGCCTAAATCTCTAATGTTAGAGGGATACCTGTCTGCATAATAAAGCTGATCATGTTTTGCTACAGTTTGCAGGTGAAAAAAAATAAATATTAGAAAAAACACAACTGTGTAGCATTATTTCTGTGCAGCAACATTTCCTGGGTGAAAATGTGCATCCTGCCAGTCATCCTGTGTACACAGATGAGGTATCCAGAGCATGAGTTAACCTTAAAATTTTCACATGCCTGTTCTAGCTCAAGTGATCTATCAAACAGGAGAGTGTTAGATGAGCTTGGGTTTATTTGGATAAAATATCTGTAGTGAGGGACATTGAAGCAATGCAGAGGGCAGTCACTCAAGAAATGTGGTTGTTTTTTTTTTTTTTTCCCCACCTTACTAGAATGGAATTTGTAGAGGGGGGTGGAAATTGTCTGGCTTGTCTAGTCTGTAATAGTAATAAGGTTCAAGAAAAACGTAATTGTATCAGACTAGTTGGTGATAGTGTTTTAAACACAGAAATAATTTGGCTTAACTTCTAGTGCAACACTTGGAAGTAAGCAAATAATATATCACAAATACATAAACTGCAAGCCTAAAGGTTTTGGACCAGCTGGAGAAAAAATTTTACAACTTTCAGTGTCACAGGAATAAATAAGGTGAGATGATTTTTTTTTTTTTTGGGGGGGGGAAAGGTTATGTAAACCCATTTAAGATAACCATGAAAATTCTTGAAGGTAAGACATTTCACTTGTAATTGACTGCCTGAATGTTAGATCTGTTTATTTGTAGGACATCTGAAAGGCTCGACTTCTGCTTGTAAAATCATTTAAGGTAATACTTTTGACTTCTGTTGCCTGCCTATGTGGGCAGGAATTTCTTTTTTTTTTTTTTTTTTTTTTTTTTTTTTTTTTTTTTTTTTTTTTTTTTTTTTTTTTTTTTTTT